TTGGAGAAATTTGGTACCATTTTAGTGCTGTTCATCTGCAGAACTGAAGAAATCTGGGGAGTATTGTGGGTTATATGCTTCAGATAAGTGAAACTTTATATAATAAACTTCTTCAGACCAGTTGAAAATTGGAATATTCATATAGTCCACTATAATTAAGTGTATTTGCCACAATGCACTGAAAATTTTACAATTAATTCCAGGTTACCACTCAGACACTGGACTTCTCTTACCATGTAGTAAGTGAAAAATAATTACAGGTTTTTAAAATGTTGTTACTCTAAAAAGAAAATATTTCCCTGAGCTTTCTGTTTCAGGTTTGTTAAGGCTTGGTTTGGTTTTAGAGGGTTTGAAGATTTCAAGCTTCCCGTGGGTCTATGAAAATGTGCATTTTTACTCTTCTGCTGCAAGTGGTAAGTTCAGCTCTTCTCAAAAAAAAAATAACCCAATTTTTTAAGGAAAATGCCATTCCAGAACTGGAATTTTCTGCCCCTTCCTTCTCCAGCCTGTGCTGAGCACAGGTGCATTCCAGTTGTAAAAATTGCAGGGTGGATTTAATTTGCTTGTCTGTGCTAAATATAAATTCACTTTTATCCTGATTTCTGAAATCCTGTCAGAGTTTCCTGATCCATCCCTCTGAACTTGTTAGGAAATAACACATTTATTGTAGTGAAGGAAGAAAAAACCTCTGGGGAAGTGTGTGCAGCAGGGATCATGAAATATTCAATATCCAGCATGTGTTAAAATTCAAATGAGGCACTTGAAAGAATGGTTTGAAGCCCATAAACCTTCCCAAATTATTGTGGCATTACCTGGAAATCTTAGCAAAGGAAATCCTCTTTCTTTTCACTCTCTTTTCCAGGGAATAACCATAAAAACTGAATTTACAGCAGAAATAAAAAATCCTTCCTGGGTTTTGTTTCCCAGCCACACCAACCCCATTATTTTTAATGTATATTTTAGTGCTCTGGATTTTTTTTTTCTCTGCATCAATGAATTTGAAGTGTTAGAAGCTGATTTTCCTCAACTGAGGCAAATATTTGAATGAATTTTGGTTCATTTTGCAGAGTTATTTCCTCTTCTTTTCTGTGCCTGCTCCTCTGGAAGGTGGAATAAGAGGGAAAAGTGAAGAATCCACTGCTGGGAAGTGCTGAAATCCCCTTGGGCAGAGCATTAAATCCTGTTCTGCAGCCTTGGATGGGTTTTATCCAGTGAGAGCTGCTCTTGGCGGTGTTAAAATCACCTTATTTTGGGTGTAATCATTGCAATTTAGATGTCCTGGAAAATAAAGAGGATTTTGTTCTCCATGTACAGATTTGTCTGGTTTAAAGCCAATAATTAAAAAGTAATTTAGCAGGGCCTTGGCTTCGGCTGTCCTTCTACTTCCAGTTCCTCACGTGTGTGTTCAGCCCAGAATTATCTCCTCTATTTAAGGGATATTGTTTGTGTCCTTCTGTGGGATTTTAAATAAATAGATTTTTGCAGTATTTGCCTAAAATGCTGAATAAAACCAATCTCTGCTTACCTGCATTTGATGTCCAAGCTAAAATCTTTGTGTGTGAGGGTAGCATGCTCTAGAAATGTTGGGATCTTCCCTGGAAATCTTGGAAACTTTGGAGCCAGGGACAAATTTTGAAGTGTTGGGAGGTAGAAGAACATCTACTGAATCTTGGCTGAATATCAGTTAAAAAAAATTCCTTTAAATACCTGCAAAATTTAATGCATTTATTAAATCATAAAAATAAGATTAAATAAATGAATTAAAGAGTCTTTAAAAGCTTCTCTACCACACCAGGCTCTTTGTGCCTGAGGGCACAAAGAGTTTGAAAATAAAGTTAAAAATTAAAGTTGGGAAGAGCAGCCTTGAGCCTCAGCTTAAACCTCGTTTTCCCATGGATTTTAAACCAGACTCCCAGAAAAAACAGAAAAAGCAGACACAGCGCCTCCTGTTGCTGCATGCAGCTCTTTTATTGTCATTTATCTTTACAGAAATGTGAAGCATCTTCACAAGAATTGTACAAAACCCTCTCCCCTGGCTGGCTGATCCCAGCAGAGCAGCTCCCTGGGGCTCCCAGAGGAACCGCGGCAGTCGCTGCTGCTGATAAAAATCCATGCAGGAGCTGAGCTTGGAATAAAACTGTCCTGTTCTATAGAGGTTAAATAAAAAGGGGGATAACAGGACATAAATATGCTCATAACATTGGTTGGAGTAGTTGAGTTTAATGCAGGATATGTGGGTTTAGTCCATATCAAACCGTTAGTGGACACGGAACATGCGCCGGAGCCGCTGCTGGAGAACCCCAAAACATCCTCGTTTCTGCATCCCCCAGGGCCTGCCAGGTCTCTGCATTGGAACACAACTATTTCCTGCAGAAAATGGGATTTTTCCATGGCTGGAAGCAGCAGCCATTCTCCTGCTCCCATGGAAGCTCCTTGTGGGCCCTTTCAGCGGCAGGAGCGACTCTTTGTCCCTGCATCGACGTTTCCAGGACCATTAGAAAAATAAACTGCTTTTGTTTTTTACATTAGTATTGTAACTGAGGCTAAGGAATTAGAAAAATGAACCCTTGGTTCTCGGACTTGCATTGGCCACAGGTGAGTATTTACAGGGTTTTCCCCATCCCATGGGAAGGTCGGCTGGAAATTTACACCAGAGGAGGAACCCGAGGCTTTGTACACGGAGCTTCCGCTTCAAATGCAGGGATTTGTACACTGAACAAACAGAAGCATTGTCAAAATACAGGAATATCCAGGGCACTCTGATAATATTACAGACCACACAGAGGCCTCAGTCCTTTTGGCACGAGTTTCCTCCTGGGATTGTTTTCTCCCTGGATTGAGGGCAGGAAGGAGCTGTGTGCGCCCGCTGAGGAAGGAGGGACCCAGCACCACGGCCGGTGGAGCCTCTGGAGCACAGACCCTGGATTTGGCCACAAGGCTGACCTGGCTGCTCAGGGCTGGGGCTGGAATTTTAAGTAAATCAAGGGTTTTTAAAAGAAATTTAATTTTCTTGCCATGGGAGGGTTGAGCTGAAGAGCTGCGCTCGCTTCCCTGCGCTCTCACACACAGCTCACAGCCAAACAAACAAAAAATAATAAAAATGTTCTCAGTAAGTATATTCAAATAATCACACCTTTTGTTTTATTTGGGCTGGGCTTTTTTTTGTTTGCTGGTTTGGTTTTTTCTAACCTGTAATACTGCTTTGTTCCACTCTCCCTTGAAAGCAAAGTGGGGTTTGGAAAATGATCCATAATAAATTCAATTCAGAAAATTAAATACATTCACACTCCATGATCTGAGCATCCTGAGGCTTTAAGTTACACAGAGCCCACGTGTCCTTTTGTACTCCAACCACACCCACTTTTTAGCCTATAATTTCTTTTTGCCACTTTTAAATGACAGATTTGGCATGTGAAGCTACAAACAAAAATAAATAAAACATTGTGCCTGCCTAAACCAAACAGATCCAAAACTAATCATTAAAAATCCATCAAAACAACCCAAAAAAGCTTTAAAGGCAGTTCTGTTTGTGCCCACAGCTCAGCAGGGTGGGAGGAATGCACTCTTTGCTTTTACCTGTGGTACCTCACCAAGCCTGGGATGTGTCACCACTCAGGGACTCCTGCCTGGCACTTCAGGAAAAAATAACAATAAAAAAAAAAAATCTGGACCCCAAACCTCATCCAGGCACAGCAGGTCCCTCTCAACCTTCTCGAGGTGATACCAGCCTCGGCACTGGTCCTGCCCTGGGCATCTCTGCTCTCCCTCAGGGCCATGGGCAGGACGGGCAGCACATCCCCACAGGTTGGGGCATCTCCCCAGCTGTTTAAAACTCACTTAAATCAGGTTTTGGCTTGTTTTCTTTGTAAACATTGATTGGGGGTGCATTGGGGAGCAAACAGTGAATGGTAACAGCAATAAACCATTCAGTGAGTGCAGGAAGCTGATGGGATTTCATGGCCATGTTGTGCTTTACAAGCTCCTTGCTAAAAAACAAGAAAAAAATCACATTGGAATTGTAAAATATGAACATGAAAGTATAGAAAGTCAACAACTCAGTTATTCACTTGGCAGTCAAATAAACCCTTTCCACATCATTGCAGAATGTGCAAAAGCAGGATGGAAACACATCTGGTGTTTGTGGTGGTGCCAGGTCCCTGCAGGACGGGGGGGGATGCTCATGCACCTCTGCTGCAGGGGAAGCCACGGGGACAGGGGGGACAGAGCCGAGCAGGGGGGGCTGGAGCTGCCAGGGGTGGCTGTGGGGACAGGCAGAACCCGCTGCCATAACGGTGCCACCAGCTGTGACCACGGGGAGGGGAAGGACAGCAGGACACGGCCGGGACACACAGGGGGGTTGGACCCCAGACTGCCCTGGCTGGAAAGGGTGAATGGAGCCACCAAACCTCCACAGCCCAGCCCAGCCCAGCCCAGCATCCCAAATCCCCCAGGCAGCTCAGCCCCAGCAGGACACAAGGACACAATCCCAGGGGCCCCGAGGCACTGCCACAGAGCTGGCCCCGCTCTCAATGTCCTGGTTTGTGAGGTGCCCCAAGGCGTGGGGGCCCTGCCGCGCCCTGTCCCCTCCATCCCGGCTGTGCCACGGCCACCAGAGTCCTCACCCAGTGCCCAGAACAGAAACCCAGCCGAGGATGAAGAATGGGAGTGACAGAGCAGGAGTTTGGGCACCCTGGGCGACACCTGGTGAAGGAGGAGGAGGAGGAAGAGGAGCAGGGTCTCGGTGCAGTTTTCCTCTTGTCTTTACCAACCTGCACCCTCCAGCAACCCCAGCCCTGCTCCCATTGGCATCTGGGCTCAGCCCTGTCCCACCAGCACCAGCGAACGCTGTCTCACTAGTTGCGGTATCGGTAGAAAAGTTAAAATCCCCGGGGGCACACACGGCCACCGGCTGCATCCGGCCGTGCCGGGGCTCCGGGCATCATCCCGTGGGCACGGCCGGGCTGGGCATCCCCGCCGGGCTGGGCATCCTCCCGTGGGCACGGCCGGGCCGTCCTTGCCCGCCCTGGCAGCGCTCACAGCTGGGTCTCGTCGCGCGTCTCGGGGTTGCCCGAGCCCAGCTTGTTGCTGCAGCTGCTCTTGCGGCTGTGGCCGTCGTTGGCCACGTGGGCCAGAGGGTCAGAGCGGATCAGGTACCTGCGGGACACAGCCTGGTCACACTGCTGGACACCACAGCTCCCCTGGAATTCGGGCCTGGATGCACAGGGATGGCCCCATGGAGATGTGATGCTGGCAGAGCATGGCGGTTGTTTGAATGAAAGGTGTTAAATTATAAGAGGTGTCCATGTAAATGCCACAAAATAATAGAATAAATAACCAGGAGTTATTCCTCAGAGCATGGTAATTCTTCCTTAGGAATAGCTCCTGAATATATTCAGGAGTTATTCCTCATGCTTGCAGAGCATGGTAGTTGTTTGCATGAAAGGTGTTAAATGACAAGAGGTGTTCATGTAAATGTCATGAAATAATAGAATAAATAATCAGGAGTTATTCCTCAGTGGCAAAAACCAAAGGAGAATCCCACAGTGCCCATGGGAACTAAGATGGGGCTGGGGTGGTTTGGGCACTGCTCAGGAGCACAGGGAACTGGAATGAGCTGGGCAAGAGGCAAAACTTGTGGGTATTTATGAGAAATCCTAGGAAACAACGGGATGGGGGCAGGTCATGGCACTGGGGGCAGTGTGGGGACAGGGTGACAGGGTGAGGTGACACTTTCACAATGTCATTGACACTTACACGATGTCGTTGAGCTCCAGCCGCGTGTCCGGGGGGGGATTGATCAGGACGTAGGACAAGGTGTTCTGGTGGTCGTTCATCTCATCTGCAAGAGGAGCAGCAGGGCTGGTGAGGCAGGGACACCCCCAGAGACACCCCAACAGGCGAGGTGACAGATCCCATCCTGGCAAATGGGCCCCTTCACCAGGAGAAGCCGTGGGCAATGTCACTGCCATGGGGAGGCACCAAGAACATCACTGCCACCTCCCTCCTCACCTCCCCAGGCTCTCCCCACCACAGCACGGCCCAGGGGACTGGGTAACTCTTCAAAGTCCCCACTCCCCCCAGAAATAAAGTGAATGTCTTACCTTGGTGCAGTGCAAAAGAGGGAACAGGTTAGTCCTGCTGTGTCAGGTACAGCACGAGTCCAACCACTGGCCCAGGGCAGCTGAACCCCCCTGGGGCCACCCCAGAGCTCTGCCCACCTCTCCCCCTCTCAGTTTCTCAGTTTAGCTCCATCCAGGCCCAGGATCAGTGCAGGGATTGCTCGTTTCCCCAGCCCAGGGGGAATCACCTCCATGGAGCTCCAGAGCCATCGATGCCGTTTTGGGGATGGCTCTGAACCAAGTGCCCTCCCAGGGGGGCTCAGGGCCACCAAGAGCAGCACCCACGGGGGCAGACAGGGGATGTCAGTGATGGGGAGCCCCTGTGCTCCCCGAAATAGCCAAGAACAAGATCATGGTGAAATGGATGGGGGTGCGAGGCTGCGGGTGCCGGGGGGGGTGAAGCTGCCACAGGTGACACCATCTCCAGACAGGGTGATGGGGTGTGGATGGACAGGGTGGGGAGGGGACGGACAGACGGACGCGGGGGCAGCATGAGGAGCACGGGGGGACACCAGCTCGCTGCAAGGCTTCTCACTGGGACTCCTCTCCAGGCTTTGGGAAAGGCCCCTCTGAGGTGCAGATGGAGCCGATGGAGCAGACGGAGCTGCTCTGGGGGCACCCGGCCCTGGGATGGGCATTAACTCCAGGCTGTGGCCTGTCCTGCTTTTCCCACCTCCCCATTCCTGCTGTCCCCTGCCCCATGGTGGGCACAGCCAGGGTCTCCTGCCCCAGCAATGCCAATGGGTGCCAGATCACCCTGGCACTGCTTTTTCCAGCCCTCAGATGCAGCTCCAGCCACCACGGGCACCCAGCACAGGAATACAGCTTCCTCTTGAGGTGTCCTTGCCAGGGCACACCCGGGGGCATCCCCAGGGCTGTGCCACATCCAGCGGTGCTTGGAGGGGGACCCAGACCTTTGTGTAGCTGCTCACACACATCCCTGTCCCCTCTGAGGCCACAGAAGGTGCTGCAGCCAGGGGGACCCTTGGGGAGATGCTGCCTGGGACCCCAGCCTGTGCCTGGTGTCCTGTCCTGTCCTGTCCTGGGGCCACCAGGTTTGGGTTTTGGCCATCCCAGTGCTCAGCCTTACAGGGAGACAGGGGTGGGGTGGCAATGCCAGGGCAGGGGTGGCACACAGACCCTGGGACCCACGGGACACACGGGGGTGACATGACAGGGACGTGGGGCCGGGCTCTGGCTCTGGGCAGCTCTCCCTGCCCCATGGAAGTTCCCTGAGCCCATGCAGCCCAGCCAGGCCCTGCTGGGCACACCGAGTATATTGCTGCCCCTCCACTGCCCCAGGCAATATACTCTGCCTGGCTGATGGAGGACACACTTTGTGAGGAAATGCCAATGTTTCACCTTAAGCCTGGACTAGTGAAGCCAAAAATGAAGCTGGGATGGGCTGTTGCTGATCTTGGGGCTGCTGCAGTAAAAAGGAGCCTTTCCAGGGCATGTTGCACCTTGGTGTAAAGGTGAAAAATAAAAGATGGGAAAACCTGGCAGGTCCCACAGAGCCCCACGAGGTGCCCAGGGTGGCTGCAGCACCAGTGGCCCCTGTGGCTGCTGTTGCCCCCTCATGCTGAGCCCAGCACCCCTGGTCACAAAATGGGGTCTTCTAATGCTGGAGAGGGGTCCAGGAAGGCAAACCAAGGGGTGCAAAGGGATTTTTAAAGCTCTGCCTTGCCCTGGGCTGTGGCTGACCCAGCAGGAGCTCCAGCATCTCATCACAGCATGCACAGGCAGCTCTTGTCCCCCTCCTGTCCCCTCCTCAAGCTGCCACTGGCTGTCCAGCCCAAAACCCCCTCACAGAGCCATGGAGGGAGGGTTTTGTCAATGAAAGCCAAGGGCTGTGATTTCCCTGTAGGAATTCAGCTACAAAAGGGTCCCTGAGGTTTCTATCTCCCTGACCAGGCAGAGCCCTGCGTTTGCACCACCACCACAGGACACTGATTGGTTTTCCAACGCCACCCAACAAATTAGTGCTGAAAGCTTGGGGATCTAAGGTGAAAACTGGCAAGGGTGAGGTTTGGGCTTAGCTGGCATGATCTTGTTGTACGCTGCACGCCATGAGTCACGCGGGACTCCCAGGGAAAGGGAATTACCTTGCAAATATCCCAGGTTTACCCGATTCATCACATCACTGGCTGTTAAATTTGCTACATCCTCTACAGAACATACAGGGAAAGGCACAGACATAAACAGAGAGAGAGAGAGAGGTCAGCAAGCCATGGTTTGGCAAATATCAGAGACGAGCTCCTGCGCTGCAGCCAAAACGTGAGCAAAAGAAAAAGGAAAGGGGCAGAAGGCAGAGCAACGTTTTGCATGGGTGTCCAGACACTGATGGTGACACAGGGTGACAACACACAGTCCCTGCCCTGCTGGGTGCCCAAGGAGCTGCTGGTCCCCACGCTGTGCCCATGTCCCTGTCCTGTGCCCCCTCACTGTCCCCTCTCCTGCCAGAGCTCCCCCAGTTTGCTTCAACCAAACTTTGCCAGGTGGGCCAGGACAAGGATGCCAGCCCTGACCTGAGCCCAAGCTGTGCCCCAAACTTCACTGAGCTCAGAGAGCCCCCCTGGAACTGCAACAGAAACTGCTGGGACTGGGAATGAAGGGAAAAAAGGAGAGAGGGGTACACCCCTGCAAGGCCTTGCCTGCAGTCCCTGTCCTTGCCCCATCCCACCACACTCCAGCTCTCCTGCCTTCTCCCTGGGGATGCTGGCAGTGCCCACAACCACCCTGGGCCCCCACTCCAAACCACTCCAAACCCCTCCTGCACTGCACTCCTGGACATTTCCTCCTCTTCCTTCCCGTGCCTAGAGCCAAGAGCGGAAAGGAGGAATCCCACCCCAAAATCAGCTCCCATCCCAGCTGGGGCTCACTGCCAGCCTGAGTGTGGGCAGGGGGTGGACAGACACTCCTGGAGGATGGAGCAGACAAGCAGCAGCACAGGATGGCTTCAAAGAAAAGAAGAAAATAAAAAAAACCAAACCAACCAAACAAAAGGAGCTGTGGGCTACAGACTTTGTCATAACTGAGGGCTGGGAGCTGTCCAGGGTGACACAGATGCCAGCACCGACGGGCAGGTCAAGCTTGACGAGAGATGCGGCTGCACAGAGGGACCCTGAGCGCCGTGGCTGCCACAGCCACACACCCGTGTCACACGCAATGAAGCAACTCAGCCCTGCAGCTACCGAGAGCTTTTCCACAGAGAGCTTATGACAGATTAAAGTCCATAAAACAAAAGGGGCTGTGCCGGCTGACGGGGTTGGGCCTCTCCCTGCCAAACTACGGGGGCTCTTGGGCACAAGGGCTGTGCTGACCTGGGGTCGGGCTGTCCTGAACCACCATCTCTGCATGGCCAGAAAGTGGGGCACAAACGGGGCCGTGTGGGGACACCGGGCCCTGCTGCAGGCACAGGGGCCACTCTGCCACTGCCAAGGCCTGCCTGGAGCCATCCCAGAGCCCAGAGATGGGGGGGCTGCCTGCAGCTGGCCGGGGGTGCCGGGGGAGGGAGGGGGGCTGCGTGGGGGGACCCCAGCCTGGGGCTGCACAAGCACAAGCAAGCCGGGGATGAGGCGCAGCCTGGCTGGGACGGGCTCGGCGCTAAGCCGGGCATGGGGTTAGGCTGGCGTGGGGTTAGGCTGGCTCAGGGGTCGGGTTAGGCCGGGCCGGGGTTACCTGAGGAGCCCGCGGGCGCTCCGGCGGCGGCACTTACCGTACCCGGTGGTGGGCAGGCCCAGGTGCTTCATGCGGTTCTTGACGAGCTCGGAGAGCTCCTGGCGCTCGGAGCGGCGGTACAGGCTGAGGCGCTGCTGGCTGATCCACTCGGCCGTCTTGCTGGAGTGCTTGTTGCCCTTCCTGCTGAGCCGCCGCGCCCACTGCATGCTCTTGCGCCGCAGCAGCGGGTGCTCCGACTGGTCGCTGGAGCACGAGTTGCGGTGGTGGCTCGTCTTGATGCCCCAGTGCTCCTTGACGTCCTTGGTGTCCTCGCAGTCCTCAACATTGATTGAGATCTGTGACTAGAAGCCCAGCAGGTCACGCGGGATGGGGGGTGGCCAAGCGGGCTTTGGCCTGGGCCTGGCACGGTGGGATCTCTCCCACAGGGTGGGATCTCTCCCACAGGGAGAGATTTTTTTGGGGTTTTTTTTGGGTTCCTTCCTCTGACCCCAATGGGCTCTCCCAGCACTTTCTCTCTGCACTGCAAGAACCGCCGGGCTGGCAGATTTCACAGAATCCCAGAGTGGTTTGGATTGGAAGGCGCTCACTCCTTGCCCACTCCTTGCCATGGTCCACCACACTACGTTTCTCCAAGTCCTGTCCAACCTGGCCTTGAACTTCCCAGGAAGGGGCAGCCACAGCTTCCCTTGGATAAGCTGAGGGGAGTCTTGTGGGCACCTCACACAGGATCATCTCTGGGATACCTAACCCAGGAATAGCCATGCCCTCATCTCCCTCTCTTCCCTCTTACAGCATCTGTGCTGCCACAGGTCTGACCCAGCAATCCCCACTGGTGAGCAGGAATTTATTAATAAAGCCTTTCAAAGCCTCTCAAGGAGCTGGGTTGCATTTAATTAAATGTCAACTTTCAGCTCCCTGTCACTGCCTCCTTACAAAGTTGAACGCTGAAGGTATTTAAAGGGATCCTGGCTGCGTCCCTTGCTCCTGATCCCGGTTAATTACATCAGGGCACTGAGGCTCAGCCAGTATCTCCCGTCCATGGGGACAGGCAGGCTGTGCTGGCACTGGGGCTGGGAGTTGGCATAAAGCAGGGGGTGGCTCTCGTGGGCAGGGCCAGCCCAGGGCTCAGCCAGGGTGGGGACAGGGGGGCACGGCCGGGCGCGAGCGGCACTCACCTGCGCTCGGATGTCGTGGGGCTGCAGCAGGGGAGGAGAAGGGAAAACCATGAGTCAGTGCAGCAAAGGGGCAGCCCTGCTGTGCCCACCCTGCTCCCCAAGGTGCCCAGGGGGTGGCAGAGCCAAGAACATCCAGCACTGCCTGGAGACCCAGCTGGGGAACCAGGACAGCACCACCCAGCGCGGCCACTCGAATGAAATAAACACAAAAATTCCCCTTTCCCCGCTCTCCCCTCCCCACTCTGCTGCACCCAGCTCTGAGGTGCTCCAGCACCCTCCTGGATCCCAGCTTGGCTGGCACCACAGCCCCTTCCCAGCCCGTGCCCTACCTCGGAGGTGGCAAACATGTGCGACTCCGTCCTGTAGATGCCGATGGGGATCTCGGCACTGGAGGAGCAGAGCTTCTGGAAGAGGCGCCCGTACGTCCGGATCCACAGGTCATCCTCAGTGATCTTCATCTGAGCAACACAGGGCCAGCATGGACCGACACAGGGCCAGCATGGACCAACGCAGGGCCAGCATGGATCCCCACTGCACCTCAGGCTGCTCCTGAGCTCCACCCCAGCCCATCCATGACCATCCCAAAACTGATTTCCACAAGAAAATCAGAGGCAATTTCTGACCTCAGCCTTCAAAACAGAGAGTTTGGTCCTTGGCAGCTCTTGGGCTTTTGGCAGCACTGAGGTTCCCCAAAAATGGAGGGGAACAATGACCTGGCAATGCTGCTCTGTCACCGTGGTATTTTCTGAAAAACCCCTTTGCTAGCATTTCTTCTCCCGGCAAGATGAGAAGCCTCAGCTTCTCCGTGTTTTGCTACTTTGGAATGTGATTTGGAGAACTGTTTGCACAGCATGTGAATTGTTTTTAATTAATAGCCAATCACAGCCAGCTGTGTCAGACTCTCTGAGGAGTCATGGGTTTTTATTATTCATCCTTTTCTAGCCTTCTCTCTGTATCTGTTCTCTATTCTTTAGTATAGTTTTAGAATAGAATAGAATAGAATAGAACAGAACAGAACAGAATAGAATATATCATAATAAATCAGCCTTCTGAGAACTTGGAGTCAAATCCTCATCTCTCACCTCGTCCTGGGGACCCCAGAACCCCACACTGCTCCCTCCTGGGGACCCCAGAATCCCACACTGCTCCCCTCTAGATCTGCAGAAGAGGGGAGCCCCCAAGCCCGTGCCCAAGGTGACAGATGCCAGCAGATCCAGGCCCCCTTGGCTGATGGTTTCAGCCCAGGGCACTCAGCACGTACCGCACAGAGGTACCCGGAGCCCGGCGTGGTGTCGAGGCCCAGCAGCAGCCGAGTGATGGTGATCATGTAATCCTTCACGAACGACTGCGGAGACATTTGGGCAGGAAAACCAGGGAAAAGGTTGGCTCAGCTGCTCCCTGGGGGATGCCCCAGCTGCAGGGCTGTGTCTCACCTGGTAGAGCAGCGTGTCCAGCATGCTGATGCTGAAGACTCTCCCGGCGGCGAAGGGCAGCCGGAACATGAAGGCCAGGTTGGAGCCGTTCTCTCGCTCTCTCTGCAAGAAGAAAGGGAAATTTGAGCTCAGATTGCACAGAAAATTAAGGACTCATGGCAATGGGAGGGCACAGGTGTAATGTTTCTGGTGAGTGTGGCAGGAGGAAACCAGGGCAGCATCTTTGCGCTGCAGAAAAAGAAGATTTTTTTTCTCCATGGAAATGTGCGAGACATGATTGGGTTTTCTGGACATGGGAAAAACACAGGAGCTCAAATGTAGTCAGTCACTGTCAGTGTTGACTTCCCAGGCCCCTGTGCAAAGAACAATCTCCTCTTACCTTTTCTAGCTTGGAAAGGGCCAGCGAGTAACTGTCCTTTGCTCTGAACTGCATGAACCTCATGTTGGAGGGGTGGGTCAGCTCCGTGATAATGCTGAGGCTGGGGAAGAGCCTGCAATGGAAAGAGATCTGCTGTCCTGCAGCTGTCTCTGAGGATTTAAAGCCTGAGGAAGACCACAGTCATGCCTGTGCTGTCTGAGGGCAGAAATAGCTGGTTACATGCTGCTTCCTGCAGCAAACCCAGCACCAGCTGTGTCCCACTGTCCATAGCCACCACCCCAGGCACTGGCACCTGTCCTGGTAGTGTCCCCTCACCTGAACATGGTCTGGACATTGACAATGGTCTTGGCATCTGCCATGTAGTCCTCCTCAGCACTCATGGTGCTCTCCTTGTCCACCACCACCAAGTTGTCAGCGTAGATGATGCCACACTGCAGCAAACTGTCCAGGCTGGGCAGATCCCAAAGAGAAGAGCGCAGGGTCAGCCCTTGGAAACGACACAGGGAAGCAGCACAGGGGTTCCACGGCGAGCCCAGGCTGCTCCCAACCTGCTCTTCACCTGCTCCCATCTCCCAGGGAGGGGTTGACAACTCGAGAATCCCAAGGTGGGCTCAGCTCTATGCTACCAACCCTGGGGCTTCTCATGGGGTGACCGAAAAGTCTGGGCTGGGCTAAATGCAACAATTCAGGCACGACAGCCACCCGTGGGAACACCTACTTGTCAATGGTGCCCTCCATGTAGTAAACCATGGGGAAACAGCAGATGGCCTCCAGAAAGTGGTGCTCAGGCCTGGGGGGAGAGCCACAGAGAGCAAGGTGGTTCAGCACGTCCACGCAGCAGAGACACAAAACCCCAGCGCCAGCCAGCTCAGGAACCCCACAATGGCACCACTGCTCCCTCACACTCCCACCCTGCATCACAAGCTGCCCAGGCAATGCAGGGAGGCTCTGTGGGAGGGAGAACACCCCTGGAGAAGTACTTGCTTGTTGTCCAGCAGCAGCACGATGGGGTTGAGCTCCTTGCGGGAGCGGTAGTAGGCGCGCAGCGGGACGATGAAGTTGTAGAGGCCGTTCCCCGCTGTCTCTGCAGAAACGATGATCAGCTTGTTCTTGAAGCCGTAGGCTTTGGCGTCCTCAAAGCTGTTGTGTTTGCAGCCCTGTGGGGTGGGACAGCCCAGCACTCAGCGGGCACGTCCTGGGGGCGCTCAGCCCAGGCAGCCCCGCAGCCCCTGCTCACCTTGTCCAGCCTCAGGCAGCAGAACGGGGCTTTCTCGGGCAGCAGGTGGCACAGGGTCGGGGAGCTCCCGATGTAGGGCGAGTTTGGGGGGTAGCCCTTCACGTACCTGCAGCAGGGAGAAATCTGTGTGAGGACAGGGAGAGCTTGCCATTTATCCAGCACTCAGCTGCTGGGGAAAAACATTCAACAGCAACACTTTCTTCTCCTGGCGAGATGAGAAGCCTCAGCTTCTCCGTGTTTTGCTCCTCTGGAATGTGATTTGGAGAATTGTTTACCCAGCATGTGAATTGTTTCAACTTAAGGACCAATCCCAGTCCAGCTCTGTTGGGACTGGTCAGTCACAAGGTTTTAGTATTCATTCCTTTCTAGCTTTCTGATGTATCCTTTCTCTTTTCTTTAGTATAGTTTTAGTATATCATTTTCATATAATATAATACAATATGATATAATATTATATTATATGATATAGTATTATATCATATGGTATAATATAATTATAATATAATATAATACAATGTAATGTAATGTAATATAATATAATGTAATATAAATTTATATATATAGTTGGTATACTATATAATATAATATAGTATAATATAATACAGTATAGTGTAATATAGTATCGTAGAATATGGTAGAGTATAGTATAATATAATATAGTAGAATATCATATTATATCATATATCATATATCAACCTTCTGAGAACTCTGAGTCAATTCTCATCTCTCACATCCTCCTGGTGACCCCAACACCACCACAAGGATTGGTGAGCACACAGCCACAATGAGCCAGAGGCGCCTGAATCCCACCAGGTCCCAGTGGAATGAACCAGACAAAGAGAGAGCGACTCACTCGAGCACTGCTGACCCCTCCTCGTCCGACTGCGTCATCTCGTCCTCAGACTGGTCGCTGAGGAGGTCGCAGGGCAGCAGGGAGGAGGTGTCGGCCAGCTCCAGCACCGGGGCGATGCTGGGCCGCCGCGTGCCCGAGCCGTTCTCGGCGGGCAGGGCCAGCTTGCTGCTGTTGGCAGGGCGGCACTCGGTGTTCTGCAGGTCCATGGCCACTGTACCTGGACACACACGGGGGAGGCAGCACGGCAAACACGCTCTAAGCGGGGGAAATGTCACAGCAGCCTCCTGTCCCCAGGCCCTGCACAGGGATGAGGCAGCCCGGATGATGCTCAGCTGTTGGTGGGCACGGGGAGTGCAGGTGAAGCCCCCACTGGTGGTCTCCACCTGCATGCAGCATCTCCCCAGGGGCTGTCTCTCTCTCTATTCCCCTCACAGCTCCATGGCCAGCTGAACCTGCTGCTCCCTGAACTGCCAAGCCAGGCTCTGCAGGAGTTTTTGCCATGCTGATGTGTCTCTGAGGTGACAGCCCTGCAGCCTAACCCCTGCCCACAGCTCCTCACGGGCTCTGGGAAACACCAGCCAGGTCAGGAACCACATCTGCCCTGGCACTGCCCTCCCTGTGGACGTCCCTTTGCCCCAGGGAGAGGCAGGCAGGCAGCAATGCCCTCACCCACCTCCCACATCCCTCCTGAGCTGCTCCAGGCCCTAGAATATCAGAATCCTTAAGGACAGAAAAGTCCTCTGAGATTGAATCCAGCCATTCCCCCAGCACTCTCAACCTGCCACTAAATCATGTCCCCAGATGCCACATCTACAGGTCATTTAAATCCCTCCAGGGATGGTGACTCCACCACTGCCCTGTGCGCAGCTTTTTCTGTGAAGGAATTCTTCCTAATATCCAACAAGACAGACTTCCTCATCCTGTCCTCCAGCAGCTTCCAAAAACCAAACACATTGATGGAGTGTCCCAAGAAGCAGAGCCCAGACATTGGCCTTGCCAAACACCCTGCCCTGCTGGCACTCACGTCATGTCTGTCTGTCCCTCTCATCACCCTGCCAAAGGTCCCTCTGAGTGGAGCTGTGTGACAAACAGCGCTCAGCAAAGCGCTCCGAGGCCTGCTGGGGGATAATCTATGCAAATTGCTGCTCAGGAGTACAAACACATAAATTATTTGCTTGAAATACAATGTGCTCGTGTGGCTCAGCTCCTCCAAAACTTGTTCTCCCCAGATACAAGAGGGAAGTAATGACTCATGGTATTTTTCACTTGCACAAATGCACTGCTGGCTGCAGGGAGAGCAACGGCTTGGGAACCATAAACGTGATTTAGGATGTGCCCCACGGCATTTCTTCCTCCAGCCTGGGAAATAACTGGGGGCTAAATCCAGGCTTGGGGCATTTATGCAAATATCCTTAATGATAATGGACATCACGAGGTTTAATAATGATATTTGAGCTTGCTGAGAGCACGCAGAGTGCAAGGAAATGTGTATTTTACTGGTGAGATGGCTGGGAGAGAACATGGAAATGGATTTTGGGGAGGGGAGGAGCATGGCAAGGAGAGTGCAAAACACAGAATGAGCCCAAATGTGGGGAGGAAACCAAATCCAAATGAACCCAAAGGTGAGTGAGGTGATGGAGGGGGTGTGCCAGCCCCTGCTGCCCCCCGACTCACCCATGCTGGCGATGATGCTGTGCACGGGCAGCCGGGAGGGGCCGTCGTAGCTGCCTGCAAAGCCCTTCTTCTTCTGCTTCTCCTCCTGCTTGAAGATGAAGGCAGAGTTCTCCTCCTTGGTGATGTTGATGTAGAAGCAGGTGTCCGAGGCTGCCATGATGTGCCTGGGGCCGGGGTTCAGCAGGATGCTCTTGTTCTCCTCCCTGCGGATCCCGATCAGGCAGACACCGTACCTGGGGGGGATGGAGCAGGGGCTGGGCATTCCCAGCTGGGGAAAATCCCCTCCTGTCACAGACACATTTATGAAAAATCCTTTCCTTAGGATTTTTCCTCCTGAGAAGCTGTGAGGCCTCAGGAACAAAATGTAAACAATGATTATCTGCTGCTGTGGAATGCAACAGGTGCATCTCTGATTGGCCCATGTAGGTTGTTTCTAATTAATGGCCAATCACAGTCAGCTGGCTCAGACTTTCTGTGCGACACACAAGCCTTTGTTATGATTCCTTCTTTTTCTATTCTTAGCTAGCCTTCTGATGAAATCCTTTCTTCTAATATATATAATAAAATATAATTTATTTTATATTAAAAATAGTTTATTTTATATTTTAATATATATATTAATATTAAAAATATATTACAATATATTTTATTATATATTATATATCATAATATATAATAAATACCTAATTTATATATATATAAAATTTCATTTTAATAGAATATATTTTATATTTTAATAAAATATGTTTATATAGTATATATCATTTTTAATATAATATATCTCATAAAATAATAAATCAAGCCTTCTGAAACATGGAGTCAGATCCTCATCTCTTCCCTCATCCTCGGGCCCCTGTGAACACGGTCACACTCTCTTGCAGGGGAAGCAGGGGCTGGGCATTCCCAGCTGGGGACAATCCCCTCAAAGGACCTCACAGCAGCCCCAGCCCTGCCCCCAGGCGTGCAGACAGACAGATCCCCCTGCCCAGAGCCCCCTGCCCTCACTTCTTGTGCGCGTGGAAGGCGGCGTAGGTGAAGCTCTTGCCCTCGTACTCCATGAAGAACTTGCTGTCCCCCATGCGGATGTGATAGACCTCATTGCCCGAGCAGCGCCCGTACATGCGCTGCCACTGCTCCGGAGACTCCTGGCCCTCCCTGCAAGGGCAGCACCAGCGTCAGCGGGGACCCCGGGGCTGGGATGGGATTCCCAGGGGTGGGATGGGACCCCTGGAGCTGGGATGGGAACCCTGGAGCTGAGATGGATGCCCAGGAGAGAGATGGGGCTCCCAGGGGTGAGATGGGATACTGGAGCTGGGATGGGACCCACAGGGGTGGGAAGGGACCCCCTCGTTCTGTGATAGCCCCCTGGAGTTGGGATGGAACCGCCAAGGCTGGGATGGGACCTCTGGAGTTGTGATAGCTCCCTGGAGCTGGGATGGGACCCCCAGGGGTGGGATAGGACCCTCAGGGCTGGAATGGCACCCTCACGGGTGAGATGAGACCTCTGGAGCTGTGATAGCTCCCTGGTTCTGTGATAGACCCCTGGAGCTGGGACGGGACCCCAAAGGCTGGGATGGGAGCCCTGGTTCAGGCACAGATCCCAGAACCCCAGCCAGATTCTGTTGGATTCCCCAACAATCCCTGGAGATGCCCCCGAGCCCGGCAGCAGGGAGGTGACAGTGACACATGGCCACGGGCTGCTGGTGCTCTCCCAGGATGAGCTGGTTCTCACTTTGGGCTCTAAGTGCCTTTTTATTTAACAGGGCTCCTGCAGAGTGCAGGGGGAGGTGCAGAGCCCGTGTTGGCAAACAGCCCCGAGCACGGGCCAGAGGCATCTGGCAGGGATGTTTCATAACTGATTCCATGGCACTTTACCCAAAATTCTGACATTTCTGATGGCCAAGGAGTGCAGGGCACACACCCCTGCTCTCCTGTGCTGGCAGAGCTCCTTCCAGCCATGCTGGATATAAACCCACCAAAAAACCCTGCAGGCTCTGGGGCTGCTTGTGCTGTGAATTCACGTTCCTGCCAGCAGCACTGTGCCAATACAAAGATATTTTTACCTCCAGCCTCTGCAAAGTTGGCATTGCCCAGCCCAGCTGCACTGGTGTGGTCCCCTTACAAAATGGGATTTTGTTTTTGGCCTGGAAGGGGACCCCAGACCCCCTTGTGCTCCCCAAAGCCATCCCAGATCCCACTGTGCTCCTCAGACCCATCCCAGACCCCTCTCCCCTGAGCTCAGAGGCCTCAGTTCTGCCACCCTCCAGGGGAGGACAGGGACAGCAGGGGACAGCAGGGGACAGCACTCACTGGCCACGGGAGGTGTGCACCAGCAGCGTGATGAGGGTGGAGGTGGCAGGGCAGACACAGTTCAGTGCCAGCATGGCGTATTTACACTCCTCCTCACACACAACGTGATCTGAAAGGCAGAGGGGACCATCAGGGAGGGGAGGTAGACAGTGCCTTGGAATGGGGTCATTTTGGGGTGGTGCTGGGCACTGGGTGTTCCCTCCTCCTGCCGGTCCAGGAGGGCTCTCAGCTGACCAAGAGCTGTGCTGCAGCTTCTCCAACTCACCTGCAAACTTGACATGGAATTTATTTTCTGGCTTTAAGATCTGAACATAGAGAGGACAGTTTGGAGCAAAGTCTTTGACAGCCCAGGCCCTCAGGATGGTCTGGTGGTCCTGGACAGAGACAAGAGCAACAAGAGCTGCTTGGCTGATGGTTTCTTGGTTGATGGTTTCTTGGTTGCTGATTTTTTGGTTAATGGTTTCTTTTCCCCAAGGCTTCTACCCCTGGGATGAGCTGCAACGCACCCAGCCACCCTGGAGATGTACAGCAAGGGCTTCTCCTGCCCCTGGTGCTCCCTGAACCCAGCACCCAGCAGGAGGAAGGTGAGCCCACAGGGCTCAGTGTGCTGTGCATGTCTCTGTGCCATCCCCAAGGTTCCCCTTGGCACTCAGCCCTTCCCAGCACCCTCCTTTGCCAGGCACAGGTGACACCAACACCACCCCAGTCCCTTCTGCCCAAAAAATGCCCCATGCCCAGCCCTGGCTGGACTCACAGCTGCTGTTCTGTCCACCTCGTTCCGGCTGCTGAGGATGAAGCAAGCTTCTCCATTGTCCATCCTGCCAGGAGAGAGCAGAGAGCCCATGAGCTGCAGGGCCCACAGGGTAGGGCACTGCCCACCCCACCAGGCCCTGCTGGCACAAAAATATTTGATGATAAATCCTCCTGAGAAGCTGGGAAGCTTCAGATTCTCCACGTTTTGCTGCTTCGGAATGTGATTTGGAGAATTGTTTACCCAGCATGTGAAATCATTTTTGCTCGATGACCAATGACAGCCACTTGTGTCGAGGCTGTGAGCCGCCACAAGATTTTATTATCATTCCATTCCTTTCCTTGTTGGCCTTCTGATGAAATCCTTTCTTCTATTCTTTAGTATAGTTTTAATATATCATTTTCTTTTAATACAATATATATCATAAAATAATAAATCAGTCTTCTGAAACATAAAATCAAGATTCTCCTCTCTTCCCTCATCCTGGGACCCCTGTGAACACCCCCACACCCTGCCAGCCCCCAGAGCCAGCACAGGCTGGGGTGACACTGTCACTGGGGTGTGCAGGGTGTCCTGTGGAAGTTTACAGGCAGCCCTGCCATGGCAAAAGAGGAGAATCTTGACTCCATGTTTCAGAAGGCTGATTTGTTATTTTATTATATATATTATATTAAAACTATAGTTAAAGAGAAGAAGAAAGGATTTCATCAGAAGGCTTGAAAGGAAAGGAAGGAATGGAATGATAACAAAAGCTGCTGACCCTCAGAGGGTCTGAGCCAGCTCACTGTGATTGGCCATTAATTAGAAACAACCACAATTAATTAGATGCACCCATTGCATTCCACAGCAGCAGATAACCATCGTTTACATTTTGTTCCTGAGGCCTCTCAGCTTCTCAGGAGGAAAAATCCTGGCAAAGGGATTTTTCAGGAAACATCATGGCTACAACAGTGTCCCTCTGCTCACTTGGCTCTCATCAGGTCCTGGTCCTTGAGGGCAGAGCCCTGGAGGTAGATGACCCTCTGGGACCACAGGGGGATCTGCAGCACGCGCCGCACCTGGATGTCCATCTCCGTGGGGCACAGGATCACCACGTAGTAATCCTGCAGGAGAGAGGCCACTGCTACAGGAACCTCCTCCAGCCACCTCTAATCAGCTCTCGGAGGTCTGTAACACACTCAGGACAGCTCAGCTACCTTTGGAAGCATAAAAGTCAGCAGGATGGCTTCTGTTGCAGCATTAGAAACAAAAAGGTTTAATAAAAGGCAAAGTAACAAACAGAAAAACCAAGCCAAGTGTTGGACGTTCTTGCTCCTGGCAAAACACTTTACAAAAACAGAGCTCGGGGGGTTCAGGGGACAAGGAATCTGGGCATGTTCTCCTTCTTCTTCTTGGCCTCCATTTTCAGCGGTGATTGTGGCACTTTTGGATTGGTTTAGAGGAGAAGCTCACTGTCTAACACAGGTGATAGGTATTGGGAAGTAATTGTAAATACTGTACACGTAGTTTTGGATTGGTTTAGAGTAGAAGCTCCGTGTCTAACATAGGTGATAGGTATTGGAAAGGAATTGTAAACATTGTACACGTAGTTTTTAGTATAAAAAGATAACACTGCTCTGGGGCAGGCAGAGTGCCTCTGACTGTCCTGCTGAGCGGACCTTGGCAGGCCAAGAGAAATAATTTTATAGATAAGATACAATAAACAACCTTGAGATGGAGAAATGAAGAGCCCTGACTCCTTCTTTGACCGCCGGGCTGGGAAAAGAGACTTTCTAACACCTTGGGGTCACTGTGATCAGCAGAGACCCTACAGGGATAGTGTGAGCCCGGCCTGGGGCTCACCTGCAGGCGAGGGTGGGCGTAGAACTCGTTGAGGAAGTCCATGAGGAGGTCGATCTTGAGGGAGCTGACGCACAGCACCACGTGCTTCTCGGTCTGCGCGCGGTGCCGGCTGTAGTTGCCCCCCGACTTCTGCCGCTCCATCCACAGGTACACGAGCTCCTCGAACTGCAGGGGGCACGGAGCTGGTGTCCCCAGGGCAGGGCTGGCAGCCCCTCCCCGCCCCCAGGCTGTGCAGGTCTCACCTGGAGAGGCAGCACCACCAGGGCCACGCAGATCATGATCACCACGAGCAGCTGGGAAGGCCAAATCTTTGGTGTCACGTCTCCGTAGCCCACGGTGGAAAAGGTGACGATGCAGAAATAGAAGGACTTGAAGAGGGAGAGCTTCTCACCTGCTCTTTCCAAGTGCTGGATGCCGCAGGTCCTGGAAGGGAAAAGCCTGGTCACGGCAGGGAGAGCCCCACACACCTGCAGCTCAAAGCCACCCTGATGGACACAAGTGTCACCCAAACCTTGCTGGGCCCAAGTTGTACCCCCCCTTCCCTCAAACTCATCCAGCAGCAGGGCTGGGAGCACCACTGAGCTCTGAAATAGCATTAGTCACCCACATCAGAGCATTTTCTTTATTGCCAAAAGCTCATGAGCCTAAAAGCCTCATTTACCCTCTATTCAGCAACTTAATGGTTTAATATGCCTCCAACCCAGAGCAAGGCTGCCAGAGGAGAATTCAAAGCCTAATTCAGAGCTAAATAGCCAGTGATGAGCTCTGCTCCCCTGCCCAGAGGAACACCCTGGATGCTGGCAATGGCAGGGAAGGGGCCCAGTTAATTAGCAGGAGCCCCAGTGGCCAATTACACAAATGACCTGAGGAGCTGTGAGGTGTGGGGGAGGAAGAGCTGGAGCCTGGGAGTGAGATGGGTTCTGGTGAATGAACCATCCCTGGTGCATGAGCCATCCCTCACCTGTCCCTGGGGGAAGCTGCTGCCCCTGCCCTCGCGTCCACATCCCCCAGCTGCCTCTGGCTGCACCCTCACCAAAAACTCCCTGATCAAACCCTAGAACAAGGCAGGATCAGGAGTTTGGCTTAGAAACTTCCTCCCAGTGCTGGGGATGGAGAAAAGCAGGGGAAGGTGTGAGCCCTGCAAGAGCCCAGCTCTGCCAGCTGCTCCAGATGGGCACAGCTGGATTCTGGGGGTGGGCACAGCTGGATTCTGGGGGGTGGGAACAGCTGGATTCCCAGCATGGGTACAGTTGGAGTTCTGGGGAGTGGGCACAGCTGGATTCCCAGGGGGGGTGCAGTTGGATTTTGCGGGGTGGGCACAGCTGGATTCCCAGGGTGAGCACAGCTGGATTCCCAGGGTGGGCACAGCTGGATTCCCAGGGTCAGGAGGGGGGTTTAGGGAAATGGAGAGCAGCACTCACCCCGTGAAAACGAGACACAGGAGGGTGCAGATGAGGATGAGCACCTGGTTGAACATGGCTGACTGTGTCCTTTGGATGGCTCGGTGCAGATCGTTCTGGGGAGACAGGGGAGGGCTCCCAGCAGCTCACACAGCCTGGGAGCACCAATTTCTGCCTTGCTGCCTCCCACAGTGCCCTCCCCAGTGAAGGGCAATCCCCTGGATTCAGCCCTTGGGAAAGGATGTGCGTTCCCATCTGCAGGGCTGGGATCTGAGAGCTCCAGTGGGAACAGGGGAATGGGTGGAACACCTCACCCCAACCACCCCTGTCACTGTGGTTTGGATTCTGAGGGATTCCTGGCCACAGCCTGGCATCTCCAGCCTGGCATTCCCTGGCACACACCAAGCTCCAAATCCTGCTCCAGAGCTGGGGCAGCCAAGGGTCCCCTCCCAGCCCTGCTGCCCTCCATATCCCCAAGGAGCTGGAGAAATGGATCACTCACAATCATGTTCTCCAGGGCGTACTTGGCCAGCCAGCAGTTCAGAAACACAGGAATGAACAAATTCCGCAGAGGAGGCCAGAATATCTACAAAAACAAGGGTTATTTGCAGAGAAATCCACGTTCTTTTAAAAAATAGGGCCATAAGCAGCCAATCCTCCCTGTGTGGAAGGATCCAAACCCAAGCTGAGCAGAAGCTGCCACCAAACAGGGCCCTGCTTCCCTGGCTGCAGCAGAGCAGCTGGAAAGGGAGGAGGGGTTTGGGATAACACTCCAGAGAAAATCATTATATTGTCAAATATTGAAGGGAAAATTTCCTGCCAGCCTTAAAAACCACTAGGCCAGACACCCATTTGTCTTTATTTTATCACCAAAATACAGCAATTACTGCACTTAGAGCTGCTTTAAATGCCATCAGGACACACTCACCGTGATGATGAATGGCACCGTGTTGATCATCTCCAGGACGAAGGAAATGCGAAAAATCTGCTCCCAGATGTTCCCCTGAGGAATTAAAACCCAAGAAGAATTAGATAACCCTAAAAACTTCCCAGAGGACAATTAAAGTGATCCCACCCTGCTGGATGAGGGAAATACGGTGCAGGAGAGGTGCAGTGGTGGCAGGCACTCTGGGAGCAGGAAGCATTCCCAAACTCCTCAGTCCTCTCCACAGCCACTACATCTGTCTGTCTGTCTGTCTGTCTGCTGCCACCCAGAGCTGGGGGACAACAACACTTCCTGCAGGGATGGAGAGTGACAGTGACACTGACAGATGGCTGGCACTCAGAGCAGGGGGTGACACAGGGGCTCAGCCTCTGCTGCCAGCCCTCCCCTGGTCCCTGAGAAGATGCCATTTGTCAAGGTCACTTTTTCTGGTCATTTCAGGTGGCTTTGGTCCAAAGGAGCCAGCTTGTGCCTCTCCTTGGAGCAGTGCCACTCCCCCCGGAGGGATGAGCAGGAGTGACCCTGCCGAGCTCGGGGAATCTGGGATGTGTCAGCCTGACACCAGGAACAGCCAGCCTGCATTGAACAGCCCTGAATCTCTGAGAAAGCACAAAAAGCAGAGATTCTGCTCTGCACACCCAGCAGCCCGAGGGGGAATGAGAAAGGAAAACATCCAGAGGTGGCAGACAAACAAACACATCCTGCTGGGATGAGAAATCCATTCCTGCAGAGGAGGCTGAGCCCTCCCGGCCCGGGCTCTCACCTTGTAGCTGAGATAGGTGAGCAGCATGGTCTCCAGGAAGCTGATGAGGGCGATGCTGACCTGCAGGGACACACACAGGGGGGCTCCAGGGCTCTCTCCAGGCGCCGGGAGCCCCCCGAGCCCCCAAGGGTGCCACAGGTAGGGCAGAGCCCCAGCCCAGCCCCTCTGGGCTCCTGCACACCCAGCAGGGGCTGCTCACCTGCACAGCCCACAGAGGGGTTTTCCTGTCCACCCAGAAGATGTGGGACCTGCAAAGAAACCCAGAGGGGATCTGAGCTCAGCTCTCAGGGTTTTCACCTACCCAAATGCAAAACCGAGGCCATCGCAGACAACTTTTATGAAAAATCCTTTCCTTAAGATTTTTCCTCCTGAGAAGCTGAGAAGCCTCAAAAACAAAATGTAAACAATGGTTATCTGCTGCTGTGGAATGGAACAGGTGGATCTGTGATTAGCTCATGTTAGTTTGTTTGTAATTAATAGCCAGTCACAGCCAGCTAGCTTAAACTCTCTGTCCGAGACAGAAGCTTTTGTTATCATTCTTTGCTATTCTATTCTATTCTATTCTATTCTATTCTATTCTATTCTATTCTTAGCTAGCCTTCTAATGAAACCTTTTCTTCTATTCTTTTAGTATAGTTTAAATGTAATTATATATATTATAAAATAATAAATCAAGCCTTATGAAACATGGGGTCAGATCCTCATCTCTTCCCCAATCCGGAAACCCCTGTGAGCACGGTCACAATCCCTGACTCAGGAGCTGCTGCTCCCTCCTGCACAGTTTGCTCAAGCAGCCCCTGCACTGGAATTCAGCCATTCCCAAGGGTGCAGCCATTGGATTTGGTTCTGGGATGCTGCTCCACATCCCCTGAGCAGCCCCAGGACCAAGAAACGGCCTCAGGGAGATGCCAGCAGCAGCCACCTCCATCCCTGTGCTCCCCCAGGCTGGCAGAGCTGGCCCAGGGCCCCAAGCAGCTCCCACTCACCAGTTGATGTTGGTGGACTGGTTGAAGGCTGTGTAATTCTGCTTCTCACATTCCCAGCTGGGGAGAAAGAGCAGGGAAAAGCAGTCAGGGGGGAACAGGGATGCTGGGATTGACCCCCTGGCAGCATTACCATGGATCCAGACAGCCTGATTCCCGTAGCCAGGGCTTTGCACAGGAAAAGCCTCACCCAGGCAGCCTTGGGCATCTCATTACTGGAGGACAAAACCCCTCAGGTGCTTCAGCCCTACCAGAGATGCTGTGGAATGCTGATTCTCCCAGGCACAGAGCTGCAGGGAACTGGGAATTACCAGGTCACAATCAGCACAATGTGCTGAGCTGCAGCCCCAGCTGAGCTCTGCCTGCCCTGCTGGGAGGGCTCTGCTCCCTCTGGCCAGCCTTGCTGCTGCCACACTCCCCCAGGAAAATGGGATTCCCTGAGCTGCAGCTGGGCTAAAGCTGTCAGGGATGAGCATCCATGTCCTGCTTCGTTCTCACAGGTCTGGAAGCACTTCCAGAACGTGCAGATGTGCTTGGCAGTCTGCAGCCTCTACGAGGGGGAAATCAAATCACCAATTATCCAAGCTCTTGGGGGAAAAAAAATCACATTGTACACGAGCTAAACGAAGCAAGGACACATTAAAAATAGGCTTATACAGAAACCCAGCACAAAGCTGATGTGTGGAATCATCCATCACCTCAAGGATCCACACAGCACACTGTATTTCCCTCTCAAGTGCTTCAATGGGATTTAGTGCTAATGTCTTCAAGCGCTTCAGCCTTCACAAAACATTTGCATGGTGCTGCCCTGGAGTGGCTGAGCTCCTGACAGAGTCAGACAGAACTTGGAAATGAACATTTTTCCACCATGCTCTGCTCAGGGCCAGTAGATGCCCCCACACCCATCCACAGGGCGTGAGCAGGGGCCTCCAGCCTGGGAAATTTTGTTAAAGCCCCAATTCAAACAGCTGTGGGGGGGGTGACAAACCCATCCTGAGCCCTGGCACACCCTCAGTGAGCCCTGGGGCAGCTGGGGCTGGGGGCAGCTGGGGCTGGGGGCTCTCTCTGTCTCTCACCAGCCGATGCCCTCCTCGGGGCTGTCCAGCAGCACACGCACGATGTACAGCAGGCACGTCAGCAGCTTCAGGGAGAAGTTGAAGAGCCGGATCCTCAGGCCTGTGGGAGGGCAGCAGGGATGGGGCAGCGTTCCTGGGCATCCCCACAGACCCCAGACAGCCCAGCAGCCCCACAGCACAGCCCCACAGCACAGAAGCACCCTGATCCCTAAAGGGAGCTGCAGCAGCTCTGCCCAGGCTTTGCCCAGCAGTGCCACAGACACAGGAGACAACACAGAGATAAATAACCATGAGTCAGCTCCTTGCTGACCCCAAAGATGTGAGAGAGACACAAGGAGCTGCTGGAGTTATCCCCCTCATTAGCAGGCACCATCTAACAGCAGCAGAGCAGCACTGACCACGTCACCTTGCAGGAGAGCAGGGGTGGTGAGGAAAAGCTGCTGCTTCATCCACTCTGCCTCCCCAGCCAGTTCATGGGGTTATTACTCAGATTACAAGTGAGAAATCCATCACATTTTCATTAAAAACTTCCCCGTGGGCACCCTGTTGTACAGCTTTTTAGCAAGACAACAGGATGCAGGCGGGAGAAGAAAAGGCAAATTTATAAATGAACCAGCAGGCCCCCTCCAGACAGCTAATGACAGCTCGGAGGAAGAAAATAAAAACACCATTAGTCAAGTGGAGACTAATCCCCATGGCTGGAGCAGGAGAGGGTAACTCACAGCCTGCCCTGGCTGTCCCCAGAGCCCCAGAGAGGCACAGCCAGGATCCCCATGGGGACATTGGCTCCCTGATGGGGACACTGGCTCCCCGATGGGGACACTGGCTCCCTGACGGGGACACTGGCTCCCCGATGGGGACATTGGCTCCCTGATGGGGACATTGGCTCCCTGACACCCCCTGCTCCCAGCCAGCTGTTTGTCACATTGTGGCTGTCCCCAGGAAGCAGAGGTGGACAGACATCTTTTATGAAAAATCCTTTCCTTAAGATTTTTCCTCCTGAGAAGCTGAGAGGCCTCAAAAACAAAATGTAAACAATGGTTATCTGCTGCTGTGGAATGCAACAAATAAATCTGTGATTGGTCTAATGCAGTTGTTTCTAATTAATGGCCAATCACAGTCAGCTGGCTTGGACTCTCTGTCCAAGACATGAGCCTTTGTTATTCATTCTTTCTTTTTCTATTCTTAGCTGGCCTTCTGATGAAATACTTTCTTCTATTGTTTTAGTATAGTTTTAATATAATATATATCATGTATTATAAATATATGATATATAATATATTAAATATATATAAATAAATATTATATAAATATAATATATTATATTATTATATATTAAATATAATAAATCAAGCCTTCTGAAACATGGAGTCAGATCCTCGTCTCTTCCCTCACCCTCGGACCCCAGTGAACACGGACACAGCGAGAGGCATCCTCTCCTCCCCATGGAAAGCATCCCCAAACCCAAGCTGACAGCACCCAGCAAAGGGGCAGGAGGCAGCAGCATCCCCGGGCAGGGGACACGCGGGGACAGGGCCACCAGCAGGTGGCAATGGCTCCTCATGGCCAGGAGGAGCGCGGCTGTCCCGGCCCGGGCCGGGCTCGGCTCCCGCTCCCCGTGCCCGCAGCACTCACTCGATCGCTGGTTTTTGATGAAGAAGAGCTTCAGCCGCTCCTTGAAGGTGTTTTCATTCACGTAGAACTCGACCTGCACCCTGCGGGGAGAGCCCCCAGCGGGGCCGTCAGTGGGGTGGGTGGGCAGGACCCCCAGAGCCCCCCGGAGCCCCCCAGAGCCCCCATCCCTCCTGGGTGACCCCGCTGACACCCCACAGTGACCCAGGCCCGGGATGGGCTCCCGGCTGTCCCCGCAGTCCCATCACCAGCCGGGAGCCCCAGGGACCCCCAGAGCAGCCGATGTGACCCCAGAGCCAGCTCTGCTGGGGACCCGGGCTTGGCTATGGTTCACACACAACCAGAGAGCAGAGCCACAAACTTCTCCCTTCACACAACTTCACAAGGTCCAAAACCTCCCAAAGAGCAGCTCTGGAGCTGCCTCTCCCCGTTTATCTGCTTCAGCAGAGCAGGAGCTGGAGAGAACAATGTCCCCAGTGTGTCCCAGCTCTGACCGTGCCCTGCTCTGCCTGGGGAGGAGAAACACCCAGCACGGAAACTGCAAAAAAACCCAATTCCGCTGTAAACGGAGAAAATTTCCCTTTGTTGCTAAGATACCACTCTTGGTCATTCCAGAAAAACCCAGGGGCTGACAACCAGCTCCAAACTCCACCCAGGGCCACTGGAGGTGGCTCCTGGCAGGGCAGAGTGTCACCTGCCAGGGCACTGACAGCATCCGGCAGGGAGGAGCAGCAGGTGGGGCTGGAAATTCCATCCCGCCTTCCCTGGCTTCTCCTGCCTCCCCTCGGCCAGCCCCACATCGCAGGGATGGGACAAAACCTCCCCGAGGCTGCATGGGGGCTCCTGCAGGCTCTGGGATGCAGGTGCCAGCTCCGACCACATCCTGATTTACTGGGGATGGAGGGATGAATGTTTACCAAACATCCATCCCCAGCTGATCAGGCAGCAAATTGGGAAGGGGTTTTACAAGATCTCCATCCCAGCTGGGCTAAGGGGTAAGGAGGGGGCCAAACGGGCTCTGCACCACACTTGGTTCTATCACCATGAGAAGGGACAGCCCCAGAGAGAACAGGAGAATTTATAAGCACAATGCTTGAGGAGCAAGCAGCCTCAATGCAGAGCCTCAGAGCTCAGCCTTTACACCTGCTCAAATTAATCCTTCCCAGAGCCAGACGCCGCAAATCATTTTTCTGTGCCAGGGTATAAATCAGCCGTCACAACTACTCACAATGCTGCACACGAGATAATTGCTCCTTCTCCTTATTAAAAATGGCCAGGAAGTGCTGGGAGCTGGCTTCCAGCTCCCTGAGCACCCCATTCATCAGAGCCCCCGAGGACTGAGAGCCTTGAGGAGCCGCAGACTCCAGGAGCACGATTCCTCTGCCAGACACTTGTCTGGGATCAAAGCAACAAACAGCTGAATAAATCTCTGCCATCAGACAGATGGTTCACTGATCTGTGGAGCTGTGGCCCACCTCGAGACAATGGCTGTAATTGCTGGTGGATAAAAGCACTAAATGATGAGATCTAACTCTCTGTGATAAAGTGGCCCACGTATTCATCCATCCCATGGCTGCAGGAGGAAGGAACACTGGGAAAACAACAAAGCAACAAAAAGCCACGTCTTGACTGGGGGGAACAGGGTGTTTAACACTGCAGAGAGATGAGGAAATAAAAGAACGTGGAGGGAACACGTTCCTGTGCAGGCAACCTGCCAAGGATGAGCCCCAGATCTTTGTGGGGGCCCCACTCTGCAGGTGAATCCAACACCCCAACACTGAATGAGGGGTGGCTCTTCCCAGGCAGCAGCGCCATCCCAAAGTATCAAAGCTCCTACTCCATTTCCAGCTGAGGGAAGGAGATGATCTCATGTAAAACATACCCTTCAATTTCATTGTCAGGAAGTTAACTGGGAGTGAGAATCAAGCAAAACTCTGACTGCATCATCACCACCCCAAAACACACCGTGACAGCTCTGCCTTCGCAGCAGCTCAGCCAGGATGGGGCGCTCAGAGTGTCCCCTCCCTGCTGCCATGGCTGGGCATCCTTCCCATCTCAGGCCTCGAGCATCCTTTTCCTATCTGGAGCATCCCTCCCATCTGGAGCATCCTTCCCATCCTGGTGCCAGCTCATCCCAGACCACTCCAAGGGTCCCCACCTCCACAGTTCCCCCACTGAACCCCCCCAGGCCATGCAGACAACGATGCTGGTACAAGTTTAGTTCCAGCCCTCTCTTGGGAGTGTAATTACTGCTATTATGCTCTTCATAATGCCTGAGCGACTTCGTTTTCTTCTCTCAGTTATTTATTGTAATTTATTAATCCAAGATTAGAGGCAATTTGTTGTAAGATGATGAGTTCCCAAAAAAAGACACAATAGTTTGTTCAGAAAAGTGCAGGATGAAAGGGCAGGAGGAGCACATCACAGCCCACTAGCGTTAAAATAGACACTGAGGGGCACAGCCCCTGCTCCAGCCTTTCCATTTCCCCAGAGCTGGGGCAGCTCTCTTAAAAATGAGGAAAACACAAAAAATGTAAACCCATACAGGGGTTTCTTGTCCCAGGAAGCTTCTCAAGGAATTTCTCCCATCATGTAGCAGGATGCAAACAAGATTCTTCTGATAATTTGGGGGGGAAGTACCTAACCAGCAAAACCCCAGAAATCTCCAATCTGGTGGGTGCCAGCAGACCCCACTTCACCCCTCTGCTCCAGCTCAGCTCAGCTCTGCATCCTCCATGCAAACCCACCAACAGGAAATGTGGCTGCACCACGCTGGAATTACAGAATTGTGCTGCTGGCCCAGCTGGGCTCCCTGGGGCAGGCTCTGGGTACCAGACACGGCTCAGCAGAAGGAGAGGAGCAGGGCTGGCGGTGCAGGTCTGCAGCATTTCCTCTCCCAGCAGCCCCAGGAGGCTGTGCAGGATGCTCTGAGGGCACCGTGCCATGGCCAGGCTGCCTCAGCACCGGGAGCAGCCGGTGCCAGCTGGAACCTGAGCAGAGCCAGAATCCTTCCCAAATAAAGCACAGAACCTGCCAGGCTGGGGCTCAGGTACCTGCTGATGAAATTCCCAGGCAGCTCCAGCCCTCCTGATTCCCTTTGGGGTGGTTTTCCTTCCCCCCCCCCATTTCTGTGATGGTGTTTGGACACAGAGGCTTCACCAGACGGGTGCCACGGGTGAGCTGTGTGCCCTGTGTTTGCCATCCTCCATCCATCCCGGGTGAGTAGAGGATGGGACAGCTCCAGCCCTGCCCAGGAGGGCTCCCAGAGCAGGGTTTGGGGCCAGGGATGGGAATTGCTGAACAGCTGTGCGCTCACAGACAGCCTGGGCGCCTGCCAAAGGCAGCACCGGCAGCGCAGCGCTGCCCCCGCGGTAATTGAACAATTACTCAAAGGAGGAGGAACGGCTTCAAACCCGGGCAGGGATGGCTCCACGGGCTTCTCCTGCCCTGCCGGGTCCCTCCCGGGCTGGGGGATGCTCGGGCTGACCCTCCTGGCAGGATGGAGCCCTGCCCAGGGCTCTGCAGCCAGGGATGGCTCAGATTCTCAGCATTCTCAGGGACCACGGAGCACCCGGAGCGCTCCCACTGCGGCAGCTCCTCCCGGGAATCTGGGGCACGTTTTGAACAAAACAGCTCAAAACAGCCTGGGAGGGATGGAGCTGGGGCTGGCTGTGCCTGCTTTGGGGCTGAGCCCCTCTGCCAATGCTGCTGATAGAGGGAGGGGAGAGGGGGGATCACTCCAAGGGATTTCTGGGGCTGGGGGAGGGACAGGACAGCACTGGGGACACCACGGGCAGGGCCAGCATGGTCCAACAGGCCAGGCATTGCAAACAGGCCAAATCTGCCCACTTTCAGTGAATTTTCTCATCCCACATCCCTCAGCAGGTGCAGCGCTGAAGCTGCTCTCCCCCTCATCCAGAATCCCAGGTGATCCCCAGGGATCACAGCAGCATCCAGCCCCGAGGAGATCAGCAGGTCCCACGCCAGCCTGGGACAGGCAGTGTCACATCCAGCATGGCAATGGCACCGTGCCACCATCACAGCCACTATGGCACTGTCATTCACCACAGCACTGCCACAGCCACCATGGTATCACCGCAGTCATTGTGGCACTGTCACAGCCACATTGTCACCATCACAGCCACCACTGTGCCACCATCACAGCCACCATGGCACTGCCTCCGTGCCACCATGGCACTGTCAGAGTCACCACAGCATTGTCACAGCCACCATGCTACCACCACAGTCATTGTGTCACCATCACAGCCACCATGGCACTGTCAGAATTACCACAGCACTGCCACAGCCACCATGGTATCACCACAGTCATTGTGGCAGTGTCACAGCCACCATGGCACTGCCACAACCCTGGCCAGGAAAGGCAGCTGCCCCTCCTGGCCCCTGCAGCCCCAGGAATGATTTCCCTGCTGAGGCTCGTCCCAAACCATGACCAGCAGGATCCACTCCCACATTGGCAAACGCTGCCCAGGGAGCCAGGATGCTGTGGCACACCTTGTCCCTCAAGCCCAAGGACTCATTTCTTCAAGGTTTCATGCATTTACCATGGGAATCAATGAGAAAAAAACCCTCCTGCTTTATTATGGAGTGTGATTTTTTTGCCCAAAGAAAGAATTGATATTGCCAAGCACTCTGCAGCAAATTAAACCCAGCTGGGTGCAGGTAATGTCATCCTGGCTCCAGCAGTAATGCTGCAGTTGTGTTTCTGGGGGATGAAAAGCAAATTCCAAGCAGTCACTACAGGGAAAAACCCTGCCCGAGAGTAGGTTTGGCCTCCAGGGCCATTTATCTCTCACCATGCCCTAAACTCATCCTGGTGTGCCAGGGGGACAAGGGCTGGCACAGACTGCAAAGGGCTCCATGGGCCTGAGGAGATGTAACAGAAATCTCCTGCTTGAATTTAGTTCTTTTATACATATATATAATTTTTATTAGGGAGGACATTGCAATGGAAATGGGATTTTTATCGATTCCTCGTTCCCTGAAGGCAGCTGTAATCCCTCCCAGCAGCTGCAAAGGTCATTTCCAGGCACCAAACCAAACACTGGAGGAAACAGGGGCACGCTCAGGGCTTCAAGCTGTAGATAATAAAATACTTTGGGCTGGAGGGACCCTAAAGTTCATCCTGTTCCACCCCCTGCCTTGTGCAGGGACACCTTCCACTATCCCAGGGTGCTCCAAACCCTGTCCAACCTGGCCTTGGGCACTGCCAGGATGGGGCAGCACCTCCCATCCAAGGTTTGGATGGTGCTCATGGCTGGGCAGGGGCACCACTTGCTCCAAAATAAGATAATTACACTTCTACTAAAGGTTAAAACCCCAAGAGGGAGCAGCAATGGGATGGCAGGCTGTGCTCCCTCTGGCCTGTTTGTTCTGCAACATTGGAGAGCGACACTCATGAGTCTGTTCCTGTAATTGCTTGTGCTGATGAATCTGCATTGTTTAATTAGGGCTGTGCATGGAGCTCATCGTTAATGGATAATTGCTGATTTGCTGCTCTCAATTCCTCCTTAATAAACTTATTCTTATTATCTTTTCTTCTAGTTACTGTTAATGAAGTTTTCTTTATACCTTTTTAAAGTTTTTAGCCTGCTTTGCCATACTCCCAATCCCATCCCACAGCAGGAAATGAGTCAATAAATTCCAGGGGGTGCACTGGTGTTGGACCAGCTCCAGACCCACCACAACTGGGAATCCTCCCCAGGGTGGGAATTGCTGAAGGATTTGCTGCTCCCATACGCAATTCCTGGATGCCCAGAGCAGTAAAGGACAAATCTTGGGTTTATCAGCTCCCTTCAAAGCAGGATCATCATGGAACCACAGACTGGGTGGGGTTGGAAGGCACTTTTAAAAATCACCTGGTTCCAGTCATGGGCAGGGACAATTCCACTGGACCAAAACCCAATTCCACTAGAGCAGAAACCAAACCCCATCCCTCGTGGCCTGGAACACCTCCATGGATGGACCGTCCACCTTAATCCACATTAATTAGAGCCAAGGTTAAGCACTGCTCCCAGCAGCAGGCACTGCCCAACACCCAGCTCCAAACACCCCAAATTCCAAGGGGGGCTTTGCCCTGTGGAGAGCAGGATCAGCTTCACCCCAGGGCAGGCCAGGGTCCCCTGTCCCTCCCCGTGGCACCGGGCAATGCAGGCAGAGAACTTACTGTGAGAAGGAGGAATCCACGCTGAAATCCTCGGCGTGAGGCCTAAGAGCGAGAGCAGCACACACAGCGTGAGGGAACCCGGCCCCAAACTGCCCCAGCAGGGCTGTGCCACCAGGGATGTGACACTGGGAATGTCCCCAGCAGGGCTGTGACACTGGGGATGGGACACTGGGAATGTCCCCAGCAGGGCTGTGACACTGGGGATGGGACACTGGGGATGTCCCACACCAGGGCTGTCCCCACCAGCAGTGCCAGCACCAAAGGGACCAGCACCCACCAAATTCTCAGCCGCGGTCACACCATGCCTGGGACACGTCCCAGTGCTGCTCTGCCAGTCACAGCCCCTCATGGACTCTGGATAATCCCAGATTCTGGGCCTGTTTTATGTCTTTTAAGGGGTTCTCACAAACAGCCTCACTGCTCTGCCTCTGATGGGGCCACTCCTGTGCACAGAAATTGGGCTTTGTGGGCTTGGTGCCCTCAGGAATCAGCATTGTGCCTCTGCTGGGCTGCTCTACAGACACCAGCGATGAGCAGAGAAAGAAAATAGAGCAAAAATAAACCAAAACTCAACTCAAATAACAGGAATGATGAGGGGGATGAGGGGGTCAAGGCAAGGGGAGGAAGAACACAGAGAAAAACAAGAGTGGGTGGCAGGCAAAGGGCCTGTGCTTATGTACTGTACATCCCACAGACAGACTGACAGCACAGGGCTGTCCAACACAGCAATTCCAGCTGCAAAGCAAAAAATCCCCTTGTGAAAATGATGCTGTCACCAAAGACACCCAGGGATGGCCCTGGGTCCCCATCTTTAAATGAGCCTGAGCCCTTCCCTGCTCCAGCAGGGCCCTCCCTCCTTCCCTGATTTACTGGGAGCCAGGGACACCGAGAAATATCATCACAGCCAAGGGGCCACTGCAGCCCATAAAGATTTTCTTGCATTTTGCTTTTGCTTTACAAGTCTGCAGCGCTCCGGCACAGTTCAAACTAAATAAAAGCAATAAATTCACATTTCTGCAGGAATGCGAGCCAGGAGGAAGCTGATCCATCCCTCAGCTACAAGGAGCAGCCTCCCTGGGACAGGATTTATTTTGCTCCCACTGCTGGGCTCTGCTCTGTGCAGGAGCTCGTTGCTCCTTCCTCCATCCCAGGTTGCTCCAAGCCCTGTCCAACCTGGCCTGGACATTCCCAGGGATGGAGCACCCCGTGCCACACTCACAGGGAAGGATTTCTGCCCAATATTTCATCTAGCCCTGCTTTCTGTCAGTGTGAAGCCATTCTCCCTTGTCCTGTCACTCCTGGCCCTTATCCAAAGTCCTTTTCCAGCTCTTTTGGAGCCCCTTTTGCTGGAGGCTGCTGTAGGATCTCCCCAGAGCCTTTTCTTCTCTGGGTTCAGCTCCTGCCATTTCCCCTCTTCTTTGCTCATTTCCAGCTTTCTCCTGGAGCATTAATTCCCACCAAAGCTCTCTCTTGTGCCACCAGGAATGAGCCCTGGGGTAGCTCTGCAGCTGAGCTGTGCCTTGGAGCAGCTCTGGCATTTATTCCTGCCCAGCACCTTGGGTTTGTGCAGCTGGGGAAGGAGCCTGGGCTGGCAGTGTCCCAGCGGCTCAATTGGATTATCCCAATTAACACAGGGGCTGCTAGGGGCCCCTCCTGCCCCTGGTTTGGAGCAAGGGCCTTTCCTGCCTCACAGGGATCTTTATGGGGAAAAAATCAGCAAATGATTTGGTTTTCTCCTCATGTGGTGCCAGCTGGTGGCTGGGAAAGGTGGGGGAACAGGAGCTAATTCCAGCTGCAGAGCAGCACTCCTGAAAGCCAAACAGCAAAAACAACCCCACACAGATCAGTGGGGTCCTGCAGGACAGGAGGGCTCTGGGTAATTGGGGTCTTCCCCCAAATCCACGGGCTCTGTGCCTCCCCCAGAATCAGCCACAATGAACACCTCGCTCACGTGGAGGCATCACCAACAAACGGGATTGCAAAGCCATGGACAGACAGAAACCTCCCCAAGGGTGGCTTTGGCCACTCTGTGCCGTGGTTAAAGCACATGCAATGAAATAACCTTTTTTTTGGTTACAAAAAGGTGATTTTGGCTCCCAAATGAGTGAACTTTGTTGTGCCGGTCACAGAGGGAAGAAGTGATTGGAGGTGTCCCACTGAAACCTCTCCCCACCAGGCACCCAAATTCTCACCAACTGCTGAGAAAATATGGAGATTTCTCCGAGAAAACGAAAAATCATTCCAAATCTCATCTGGAAAACAGCCACTTTCCAGATCCCAAAACCACTTTAACAGTGATTTATGACATACAGAACCTAAGCCACTTAATGGAGCCAGAAAGGTTATTCTGGCTTTTAATGTGTTTTAGATAATCTACTTCAAATTGACCTTTTTATTTCGTCCAGATCTGGCTCAGTGAGAGCAGACAGAGCTCAGATCACCTCATTCCCATGGAAAACAGCAACAGCACGGGCAGCCAAAGGACCTTGGCTGTCCTGCAGGATCCAGGGGCTGGGAGAGCAGAGCTGTCCCCACACAGGGCAAGCTGAGGATGCCAAGCATCCCCACCATGCCAGGCTGGCACAAACTGCACCTCCCAAGCACCAGAGCAGAGCAGGGAAGGGTGGCAGAAGGGAGAGGAGCAGAGGGGGAAGGAATTCCTTGGCAGCTTCAGACCTGCCCCCACCTTTCAAGCTCCAGCCCCTGACAAAAGGGGAAGGCTCTGTTAGAAGGTGAGGAGACAAAGGCACATTTATTATTAGAACAAAGCCAGAATAAAGCTGGCTTATGTAAAAGGGAGAGAGCAATCACCTGCCCACCCATGCTGGAGGCTGAGCAGCACCTTCCACCTCATCCTGCCTCCTCAGCTCTGGCTCCAGCAAAGGCAGGGACCCCTGAGCTGGGCAGGGCTGTGCACAGCACCCCAAGATCTGGGCCAGCAGAACCAGCTCCCTTCTCTCCAGGGGGAGGCAGCCAGCCCCAAGCCCCAACTCTCCTGCAGGGTCTGGGTGGCATTGATCTCCTGTGCCTCATGCAAGTAATTGAGGGCTAAATGCTGTCCCTGTGCTCCAAGTGGGACAGAGGGACAGCTCAGCACAGCCCAGCTCACACAGGGACACACTGCTCACTCACTGCTCCCTCCCAGCAAACTCTGCTCCTTCCAACGCTGTCTCCTGAATCTTTGGTAAATGAACAGCATTAAAAATTCACTTCTGGTGGTGCATTTCCTATTCAATTTACAGCCATCCTTTCCAAGCAAACAAACAAAAACATTCATGCCTTGACTTGAAGCCTCTGCAAGTTACAGACACAAGTAATGACCTGCCAGCACTGCTGCTGCCTTCAGGCTGCTTTAATAACCACTTGCAAGGCTCAGAGGCATTTCCAGAGCGGGGTGGAAAGGTATTAAATGTGATGGCTTTCTGCCCTGGCTTTGGGAACAATTTAATGCCTTTTCACCCTGCTCTGGAGATGCCTTGGAGGCAGGGTCAGGGCAGGGGGGTGAGGATGAGCCAAGCAAGGTGAGTGCCTGGGGAGGCTCCCCAGAGCAGAGCTCATCCTGCACCACAGCTCCTGCCATACTGACAGTGAGAAACTCAGCCCAAAATAGCCTGATGTGAGAGGGACAGATGGGAGGAGATGAAAAAAGAAAGTAAAGAGGGGGAGAGAAGGAACGAGCAGGAGGAAGGGGAAGGCGAGAGGAAGAGGCACAGGTCTGCTCACAAAGCTGTGAGAGAGGGGAGGGAAGGGCAGCTCCACTGCCTGCTGTGGGATGAGCAGGGGTGGTCCCAGGGAAAGGGACTGAGCCTCAGCATTCCTGGTGTGAACGGAATTCATCCAGCACCTGGAAAACCCACCAGGAGCTGCAGAGGTGGCACAGGGACAGGCAGTGCCACAGGGACTGGCAGTGCCACAGGGACTGGCCCACGGGCACAGAGCAGCAGGAGAGGGCTCAGCTGCCTCCCAGGGCGCTGCTGCTTCAGTCACAGGAACACTTTTCCTTGGCATTCCCCTGCAAAAGGAAGCTCACATCTCACACACATAAAGTTTGGGAAGCAGCGGGAGCGGTGCCAGAGCTGCAGCAGCCTCGCTGCAGCTGGACAGGCCATTCCCATCCCAGGGGCCAGCCTGGCCTGTGGGCACCTTCCAGAGAGCTGGGCCTCTCCCAGAACAGCCACGCATTCACTGAGGTTGGACAGCACCTCTAAGGTCATCAAATCCACCATCAAATCTCACCCCCAGCACTGCCAAGCCCAGCACTGAGCCATGACCTCACAGCCACAACCACACATCATTCAGATCCCTCCAGGCATGGGGACTCCACCTGTGCCAGGGCTGGACAACCCTTTTGGTAAGGAAATGTTGCCCCAAATCCAACCTAAATCTCCCCTGGCACAACTTGAGGCCATTTCCTCTTCTCCCAGTGATTGTTTCTTGCAAGAAGAGACCAATCCCACCTGGCTGAAGGTAGATGGAGAGGGCAAGCACTGGCGGGCAAAGAGGCCCTGCAGATGCTCAGGCTGCCCTGACACAGCTCCCTGCCCTTGCTAATGAGCTAAATGAGTCCCTACTGTGGCTGATCCTCATGGGGGAAGGACTGTGGGCAAGTTTGGAGGTGGGATGTGAGACCCTAGTGTGCCACGGACCCCCACCCAGAGGGATGCCACCTTTACAGCAAGCAGGTAAAGCTCCCCTGAGGAGGAACGTGCCAATCCCCGTGCCCTGATGGGACCTGGTGGGGATGAGGATCCCAAAATAACCAGAGCAGAAGCCCAAGTGCGAGTGCTGAGCGTGGCATCCTTGGGTGAGATCGTGGCTGCCTGTCAGGGCTATGTAGGGCACCGAGATCCTGGCAGCTCCCCAGGGCCGTGGGAGGGGAGCTCAGCCCTCCCAAAGCTCAGCCTGCTCCCCCAAATACCCAGCTCAGCCCTCCCAAAGCTCAGCCTGCTCCCCCAGAACCAGCCCAGCCCTCCCAAAGCTCGGCCTGCTCCCCCAAACACCCAGCCCAGCCCTCCCAAAGCTCAGCCTGCTCCCCCAGAACC